TTTTTTTTTTTTAAAACAGACTTAATTCACTATTCTTGTATAAAAACCCTATGTTGTAGCCACAGCTGGAGGCTGGGTCCTCTGCACTCTGGTGTGGGTCTTGACAAGATGGTCAATGAATTCTTGGTGAGACTTGGTGAACACTGTCTCTTTCCAGAGATCAGGAATGAGATAGCTATAGGTCTTGGAAATGGCATCAAAAGTGGCCTTGGCTAGAAAGCAGAAAATAGGAGGATTGGTGGTATGACTTGAGACAAACCCTCGACCCCAGGACCTGAAGGGGTTGCACTCCCAGGAACAGAGAGGCCACTGTGGGCAATTCTGTCATGCATTAGGAGAGCCTTCCTTTCTCTCCCTGAAATTTTGATGTTTTTCTGACAGATTTCACACAGGGCTCATTGCAAAGCCTTGTTTCATTCTAGGGCTAACCCTCTGCAGAGCAACCTGGTTTTATGCTTTCTAATTTAGCTTTTAAGTTTTTCTAGACCCATGTATTGCAGAAAGAATCACTGGTGTTCTGAAGATTGCTTCTTTTTTGTCAACATTTGTAAAAACAGTTTGTTTATGTGACGAGCAAAGCACTAATGGGGGCCAATCTCCCTGCAGACAGTGGTCTCGAGGTGTTAGCAGTGCAGCGAGTGTCAAAGACCCAGGCCTGGCAGCGCACAGGGAGGGCTGGCAGAGAAGACAGTGGCATCTGTTACCGGCTGTATACCGAGGAAGAGTTTGAGAAGTTTGAGAAGATGACCATGCCAGAGATCCAGAGGTAGGCTCCAGTGACTTCTGCCATTTGCTCCCATGTCTTTCCTGTCTGCTTGTGCTTGCCCTGAGCTGCAGGGTTCACTCCCTCTCCTCACAGAGAGGCTCTGACTCACTGGCAGGGTCGTTGTGAGCAGCCTTCATCTCTCATTCTTCCTAGGTGTAACTTGGCCAGTGTGATGCTTCAGCTCCTAGCAATGAAAGTCCCAAATGTGCTCACCTTTGACTTCATGTCCAAACCATCTCCAGGTAAGCAGAATCCTCAGTGTATAGTGTAAGGTGATGAGTAGAAAAGCAACAACAAATGGACTCTTCCAAAAAATTTTATTTTAGTTGTCTCCTTTTGTCTATATAATTTTATAGAAAACAATGTGAGCTATCAGAGAAGCATCTCAAAATCACAAAATGATTTGTTTGTTTGCTTAGAGACAAGGTTTATTTAGAGTCGGTTCTCACAGTGTTGCCCAAGTTGGAGTGCAGTGGCTATTCACAGGCACAGTTAGTGCACACCAGGGCGCCTGGCTGTGAAACAATGGATTCTGTGCTGTCAGCATCATCACAATCAGGTTCCTTAACCTTTGGAACCAGCAAAGGTCATGAGGTGGCTCCATGGGATGCTACAGAAACCTGATGAAATTTTATCAGTGCAAAGGCTATAAAAATCAAATTTCTTTGCTTTTATCTAGAACTTGATCAGTCCCTGCTCTTCATTAATAATCTCTTGCTGGGCATGGTGGCTCACACCTATAATCCCATCACTTTGGGAGACTGGTAGGAGGATCCCTTGCGCTGGGAGTTTGAGGCTGCAGTGAATTACGATCATTCTGCTGCACTGCAGTCTGGGCAATAGAGCAAGACCCTCTCAAAAAAAAAAAGTAATCTTTCTATGAAGGAAGAAAACAACAATTGGGATTCTTAATATTAGTATTTTTGGCATTGTGACCACTCATCAATACAACATTTTCCTGTTGTTTTTTTTTTTTTTCCTTTAAGGAAGAAATATAATTGGTTAAGAAAAAGAAAGAAAAGAAAAAGCAAACAGTTGATGGGTATACAAGGGTCCCATGTTTAGATTCATAGTTTTCCTTCCATAGAGCAGCTACTGAGACCATTTTTCTGGTTGTTTTTGGAAAAGTTTGTATGTATGTGAGTGTCTCTTTTTATTTTTGTTTATTTATTTTTGTTGTTGTTGTTGTTTTTGAGACAGAGTCTCACTCAATCCTGGTTTGGGTGCCATGGCGTCATAACACAGTAACCTCAAATTCTTGGGCTCAAGTGATCCTCTAGTCTCAGCCTCCTAAGTAGCTGGGACTAGAGGCGCCCACCACAACGTCCAGCTTTTTTTTTTTTTTTTTTTTTTTAGAGACAGATTCCTGCTCTTGCTCAGGCTGGTCTCAATCTTCTGAACTCAAGCAATTGACCTGCCTCGGCCTCCCAGAGTGCTAGGATTACAAGTGTGAGCCACCATGCCTGGCCTTGTCTCTTTATAAACACAAATAGCAACAACACGTGTACACTGTTCTATGTTTGATTGTTTTTCTTTTTAGTGCTAAATTCCTACAAAGTAATAACATATAAGGTATAAGGGTTAGTAAAATCAACACCACACACCCATTACCACTGCCATTAAAGCTTCTGGGATCCTTCCCTGGCTGCCCTCACTTCCTTCCCACTCCCTTAGGGTAACCCCTCCACCACCTTTTGTTGATAATTCCCTCATTTTTCTTTATGGTTTTACTATATGTGTATATATCCCTAAAGAATTTGTTGTTTCAGTTTGCATATTTATGTATTGATTCTTCAATAACTTTTTTGTTGTTTTTGTTGAGACAGAGTCCCACCCTATGCCCCTGAGCAGAGTGCAGTGGTATGGTAGCTCACTGTAACCTCAGACTCAGGCTGTGGGCATCTCACTGCCTCAGCCTCTGGAAGCCTCTGGAATTACAGGCACTCACTGCAGCACCTGGCTGGGTTTTTCCATTTTTTTCATGAGTCGGGGTCTCACTCTCGCTTAGGCAAGTCTCGAAATCCTGAGCTCAATTCTCCCTCCTCAGCCTCCCACAGTGCTGGGATTACTATTCTTCAATAACTTTCATCATTCAACATGTTCTCTAAGGTTTATTTGTGTTGAAGCTTTTTCACCACTAAATGCTGTTCCATTCTGTGAATAAACCGAAGTGCATTTATCCATCCTCTATTGATAAACATTGCTTTAGAAAGGCAATGAAAAGCACCTTTTTTCATTTTTTCTTTTTTTTTTTGAGACAGAGTCTCACTTTGTCACCCCCAGTAGAGTACATCACAGCTCACAGCAACCTCAAACTTTTGGGTTCAAGCAATTCTCTTGCCTCAGCCTCCCAAGTAGCTGGGACTGCAGGTGCCTACCACAACACCTGGCTATTTTTTGTTGTAGTTGTTTTAGTTGTCATTGTTATTTAGCAGGCCCGGGCCAGGTTTGAACCCACCAGCTCCTATGTATGTGGCCAGAGCCCTAACCACTGAGCTACGGGTGCTGAGCCCACCTTGCTTTTTTCACTTACAATATTGTATAAATCATTCCCTGCTAGTATGTATGTATTTACTACATCCTTAGAAATTCTTTTTTATTCTTTCATAGGTAATGCATTTACATGGTTCAAAATTTTATAAATATGAGAGTAAATATAAATAGTAAATAGCATCCTTCTCACTCCTTGTCTCCCAGCCTCCCCGGTGACCTCTGAGGTAACTGGTATTTCCATTGTTACATGTTTGCTTCTGGAGATATGGTCTCTGTACAAAGTATGAGTGTATCTACAGGTGAAATTTATATGTGTATTAAGCATTGCTGGGTCAAAAGGTATGTGCATTCAAAATTTACTTACACATTGCCAAATTATAGGTCATTTTAAAAGGGAATTGAAATGAACACAGTGATGTCATTAACCACTTTGACAAGTAGGTTGAGGGGGCAGTGGTGATTGTGATCTTTGCTGATGTTTGATAATAGAGTTATCAAAAGCTCCTAGAAATACTGAACTAGCTGTAACTTCATCCTTTTTTTGGATTTTTGGCTCCTCTGTTTCTTTAGATCACATTCAGGCGGCCATTGCCCAACTGGACCTGTTAGGTGCTCTTGAACATAAGGAGGACCAGCTTACCCTGACTCCAATTGGAAGAAAGATGGCAGCATTTCCTTTAGAACCCAAATTTGCCAAAGTAAATGAGACCCTCTCCTCAGTCCCCTTTCTGTACATTACAGGTTAGCAATCCCAAAGTTGACTACTGAACCCAGTGCTTCTAGATTAATATCACTTTTTCTCTTAAATAATTATCAGCCCCTTCTTTGTATATAACCCTAATTTATGTTCTATGTGGGATTCAAAGACATATTAAGTGACAAGGAATTTGGAATCCTGTGGGAAGGTAGTCATCTGTTTTATAAAAAAGCAAAGTAACATTAATATCATTGTTTTGGAAACACTTGCCCTTGAACTCCTTAGAAGGGAAACTCCAAAAGCATTATACAGAAATACTGTATTCAGGAATTAGGGAAAAGCTGGGTTTATATAGTTTTTTATTTTGATTTGCAGACCATCCTCCTGTCCCCTAAATTCCACTGTACAGAGGAGATTCTGACCATCGTCTCCCTGCTGTCTGTGGACAGTGTCCTTCACAACCCTCCTTCCCGGCGGGAGGAAGTACAGGGTGTCCGGAAGAAGTTCATATCTAGTGAGGGCGACCACATTACCCTGCTCAACATCTATCGAACCTTCAAAAACACAGGTGGAAATAAGGTCAGCCTCATTGTGTTCTTCTCAAATAACTCCTGCTGCTTTTAGGCATTTGAAGTGTACTTTACCTTTTTGGCTGAATCACCTAAAAAGCCACCAAAAAGAAAGCCACATGTCATTTCAGAAATGTCTGAATACTGGGAGATCACCAAGGAAAAAATGTCATTCCAGCCTTTGTTCTCCTTGTGTTTGTTTAACTTGTACTTAATAACTAAAACTTTGGTGATGCAGTTTCCTAGCCACAGATTTTCTTTTTCCCCCATCTATCCCTAACTTACAGTAGTTTTTGTTGTTATGATATTTGAGTTCCTTGAACTAAGATGGAAAATGGCAGTATATTCTTTCCTCTAGTAATAAGATCACTACTTGTGCCATAGTGTGCACACTTTCACTTAAAAAAAAGAAGAGCTACCACTTAAAAAAAAAAAACTACCATGTCGGTTTAGTACTTATAACCAGAAGTATCCAGCCTTTTTTTGTTTCTGCCACACATTGGAAGAATAAGAGTTGTGTTAAGCCACACATTAAATACAAAAACACTAATGATAGCTTATGAGTATAAAAAAAGGTCTGTGGCAATATCTGGCACCACAGGTAAGCAAAATAGTCCTCAAATAATCTGCATGTGGCTGCACGTTGGACACCCTGCATATAATTTTTGCTATATGTATGCTTCAATATAGTTTTAGGGAAATAAAATGCTGTGGCTATAATAAAAGCCCTGTTCTGCTCCTGTCTCATTCCTTTCTTCTATACTGTTAAGTACTGGCCTGAAGTTGCTGTGCATTCTCCATGGGTAAGAGTATGTTTCATATCTGTCAATGTGATATGCTACAGATATAAATGTTTTCTCACCTTGTCCTTTTGCAGCTTCTATTTCCTGGAGCTGCAGTGACCATCCCATGTAGTTTTCCTTGTGCACATGGGGCAGAATTTCTCTGAGGCCACTCCCTAGGAGTAGACCTGCCAGGGCTTCATGAAGCTGACAAGTAACTCCCCAAAGTTGGCAACATCTCATTATTCCCCCCGTAGTACTATGAGTTTCCATTTCCACCATCTTAGCTGAAATAACTTTAATTTTTGCCATGTTGATAGATGTGAAATAGTATGTCAGTTTATTAAACTACATTGCCATGATTTCTTAAGAGACTACGATTGCTTAATTAAGTTCATTGGGCATTTATATTTCCTCTTCTGTGAGTTGTCTGTTCATATCTTTGCCCATTTTTCTAGTGGGTTGTTGGTCTTAATGATTTGTAGGACTTTTTTAATATTCTGGAGGTACTGATTCTTTACTGGGTATGGTGCAAATATTCCAATGTGTATTTTTTTTTCTTGGTGATTTAACATAAGGAAATTTTTAGTTTTATTTTAGTTTAAATTATTAATATTTTTCTTTACAGTTCATGATTTTGGGTACCTGAAGTTTTTCCTCTGAATTCAACTGTTCTAAAATTTTTAAAATTTTTTTTCTTTATAGAAATGAGAGGATTGTAATATCTCTTTTTCTCCTATTTAGGAATGGTGCAAAGAGAATTTTGTCAACAGTAAGAATATGACGCTAGTCACTGAAGTCAGAGCACAGCTGAGGGACATCTGCTTAAAGGTATTATCTCTTCCTGGTGTTTTTTGGGTGACTAAACTGTCACTTTTCTTTTTACATATACATGTGTTTATTAGGTTCCACTTTTTGCCTTCACAGAATTAAAAAGGCTTAAAATTTACCAACAATAACAATGTTGTTAAAGATAAGGACTAGAAACAAAAACTTCATAAAGAATGAATGAAGATAATAAATACATTCAGAAAAGAAATCAGACGATTGCTGCAACAAAGTGTTAAGCA